AGTCTCCACAGAAATATTCTTGGTTGATTTTCAGGAGTTACATATAGTATGTGAGGGAGAAATAGGCAGATAACAGAAGCATAGCTTGTATCCTGCAATTAATGTGATCTTTGTTGTTTGTGGGGTTTTTTTTGTTGTTGTTGTTGACACACAGATCAGCAGGGATTTGTGTCCAGAGAATGATAAATGCAAAGGCCAAATGTTTTCTGCATTTCTATCATGTTCTCTTGTACTTTGCTTTCATAAATATGCGCAAGGTTATGCTTGAAAGTGACCTTTGGACGCAACCCCTGATATATCTTTAGAATATTCCCAGGGGTTGGTTTTTAAATTTTCTGCCCTTGTTTCAGAAGCCCTTAGAGAATATATTAGAGTATTATGCAGTTAGAAGAAGCCATAGAGTTCAACTGGCCTAAGCTTCTTCCTTGTATATTTTCCTTAAAATGAGGGCAAATGTTAAAGACATACAGGTAAATGGTAAAATTAAAAATAAATCAATCAAACAATTGATTAAAATATAAAATATTTTTCTTTGAAAATGGAGTAGAAAGCCATAGAAATGTAAAGGCTCATGCACATTTGATCTAATGCAGAAAACTGCCAATATGTAATTCATCTCATAGCCTGATTATATGCTATACACATAGATGCTTCCTGAAAAGCTGCTTAAATATAAATAATTAAATAAATAAATAAATAATAAAACAAACCATTGAATATGCCAGATGATTTTCTCCACTGATTAAATTTTTATCTGTTAAAGCAAATTCCAAGAACACTTTTATTAGGCACATTTTTGATGATCAACTAGAAGTTAAACATAAAGGAACAGAAATTAAATTATACCAAATTCCTAATGAACTAGACTATGTGATAGATGTCTCTACATACACTACCTCATCATGTGTAAAGGAGTCATGTAAGTGCAAAAAAAAGTGTGTTTCTTTCTATAACATTTATCTTTAGTCTATGTATTTTATAATTCACACTAACTCGTCAAACTGAAGTTTTCCAATCTCAATTTCCGTAATATGGAAATCAGTGGTAGCTTTTAAATATTTTTGCTTTGAACACTTTTTAGATTATACTGACGATCTGCAATCCACTTTACAGTGACTACTTCATAAGGAAATAAAATAGAGGAAGACAAGGATAAAGAAAAGACAGAATACTTTTTTCCTTTTCAAACTACTACTCTTTAAGCTATAGATCATCCCATAAAAATCTGTGCCAATTAATTGTGCATTTATTTTCATTCAGAATTTGTATTGATTATACAAGAGAAAACTGTATATGAATATCCAGTGCTTGATGCACCTTGGGTCAGAAACAGTAATGAGGTACAGACTCATACATGGAACAGGAATGAATGAAACGAAAACAATCACAGACCAACGAGAGAGCGTGTCAATACCGTGCCCTTGCTGAACTCATGAACACCCTCAGGCCCTCTGATTCGGGAAAATTCACTGCTATATGGCAGTCAGAGCTGCACTGCTGTAATGTCCTTTCCTTCAGAGTTGCACTGCTGTAATGTCCTTTCCTTCAACGAACATTTCCCAAACACTTCTGTGTGACAGTTTCTTTGTTAAATGCCATGGATGCATATTTGATTAAGGTAGACATCATTACTGCCCCTTGAGGATTTATAGTAAGGTAGAAAAAGAGTTAGGAATTTGGACAAAGATGTACCTAAAATGATTGTTATAATGGAGTTAAATACACATGCCAGGTGGTGCACCACGGAAGGCCTTGCTGAGGATGCAGGTGCTTAAACTGAGACTTGGGGCAGGGGCTGCTGCTGTCTCCATCAACCACAAACGCTGAGTCCTAAACACTGAGTCCTGATTTAATGTAGGAAGACCTCCCTGGGTGGGGCAGAACATATCCTGAGAAAATAAGGGTTGCATTCCATGCAAGTTGTCTGTTCCAGGTGTCTGGCCTTCCTGGGCCAACAAGGTTGGCACCTCCTGTATATGAGGACGTCCTCTGCCTGCTCCTGCACTTCACTTATGTCTCTGCAGAGCCCATCCTGTCTGCTCACACAAATGTCACTTCTTGCTGGATCCAGATTAAGCCATGACTAAATCTCAAATCAACTCTCTGCAGTATTTCCTGGTCAGGCAGGTTCCTAGACTCCAACTTCATCTCACCTCAGCTGGAACTGTACACTGACCACTTCAATTCAACAGTTTAGACTGATATCACTGCTGCCCTCTAATTTAGCAGCATGCCTAGTCCTATTTTTTGTTGTTTTCGTTTTGTTTTGTTTTTTGGCAGCTGGCCTGTACCGGCATCAAACCTTGGGTCATGCATAGCTCTAAAATCGAGGAGTCAACAGTACTCATCCTTAAAAAAAAAAAAAAGCTTCACTTATGAGTGATTACATTAAAATATAGCCAGGCCTGAAGAATCCCTGCACGGACAAAACCAGTTAGGTCTCAGGAGTGACATCACCCTTGCTCAACTTGCAAACATAAGTAAACTTAATTTGTGCTATTCCCTATAAGTGCTTATATTGAAGAAAAATAGAACGTAACCTCAACCAATCAGAAGTAGCCAACAAACTTATATTTATGTAATTAGGGACTTTCCAATGGGGTAGATCAAATAAGGCAACTGTGTAACTGCATCCAATCAAATATTTGCTTTGCTTTACTTTTGTGTCTGTCTATAAAATCCTCCCCCTGTGCACTCCCTCAGTGGAGTACTGAACCACTTCTGGTTTGAAGCTGCCTGATTCATGAATCATTGCTTGCTCATATAAATTCTTTAAAATTTTATTGTACCTCAGTCCACTTTTTACCATTAGCATGCCATATAGCTTTTGATGGTAAAGGTTTATACGGAGAGATCCTCCTTCTCGACCTTGAAAGTTTTAGCAGAAGATACTTCCTGTGATTAATGCTGTATATAGGCAGAGACATTTGAAACTGCTAAAGCCAGCAAGTAAGTTGCTGTGAAGAGTCAGATTTCCTCACAGGTAGAAAGATGTGTTCCTGGTGGAACTTTGACTAGAAGACAATTGATTGCCCCCAATGTGCAAGATATCTTGGGGAAAATGGTCTTTCATTAGGCATGCTGTATGAAAAGTCAATGACCAAACAGGGTCTCTTGGTGGGTGCCAAGTATTAGAATTGTCTCTAGGGATTAGCTAGCCACAGAGTACGTAATTTGAGTTTATTTGAAGACTGAACACAAGTAAATTAGCATAAAGGGATTGTCAGATTAATGTTCTTCACATACCTTGTTTATTTTAATACATGCTATTTTCCTATGAAATAGGTATTATTAATGCATTTTCAAAGATTAAAAAATGAGTCTGAGGAAAAAATGCGTGTATATGTAAACAAGTTGACATGGCAGATATGTTGAGGGGGCAGCGTTTAACTGCAGGTCTGTCTGAGCTACTCGGGGTATCACAAATTACACCAATAGTACCAGCAATCCTGAAGAGTTTGGCACAAAAATATTTCCACTGCATTTTTCAGCACTCTCTTCATCTACTCAGGGAAACTGTTCCTAACAATCAAGACATTAAAATGACATTTTAACTTCGCCTAATCTTAGAAAATATTTGCTAGCAGCACTTACTTTGAAGTGTGTAATATTCTTTAAAGGTGTAGATGATTTATGCCACGTTTTCCTCATTGGGAAGAACATTGCTCTCAGGAAAGTGTATTTATACTCTATTTTCAATTCTGCTTTCTCTTAGACTCCTTCTCACTTCCGTTTTTCTCAGTGGTATTTATTCGTTTTTATACCTGTTTTAAAAAATGACAAAAAAGGGCTGGCTCCATGGCGCACTCGGGAGAGTGCAGCGCTCGGAGCACAGCGAAGCTCCCACCGCGGATTCGGATCCTATATAAGGATGGCCGGTGCGCTCACTGGCTGAGCGCGGTTCGGGCGACACCAAGCCAAGGGTTGCAATCCCCTTACCGGTCACAAAAAAGACAATAAATAAATAATAAAAATAAAAAACGACAAAAAAAAACTTTGGCATTCCAAGTTTTCCCACTCTCTTGCCTTCTGTTTACAGAACCACCATCAGAGCTGTATTTGCAGTACTTGTTTTTCCTTCTGTCCTGCTGAGGACCTACATCCAGCAGTGTCATCCCCCAATTCTTTGATTTCTTCCCTTGTCATCCCCTCATTAGTGGATATCAATTTAAGCGAAGCATGTTAGCTAAATGCATCATTCTGTCAGTGACATAGTGCTGCTGCAAAGACAACCTGTCGTGTGCTAGGTGGAAGCATCGCCTGACTCAGGTGCATGAAAGTCCTTCTCTATTACCTCATAGCCAAGATTCTCAAGCTGCCAGCCTTTACCTCTCTAAACCATCAACGTTTATTTCCAAAAACAACTTTATTTGAATATCCAAAAACATCCGTAATTCACAATTGTAAAACGTAACTCTTAAGAGCCTGGTCAAAATAACCCGTTTTCCAACTAATTAATGGCTCCATCTCCTACCCCGTTACTCAAATTAGAAGCTTCAACCCTTCTTGATTCTTTCTTAACTGCCCTCTTTTATGCAATCTAGCAATTTGTTTATTGTAATCTTCCACCAAAATAATTCATGAATATTGTCTTCCCACTCAGTCTCCATCTGTCTATCACTTCAGGTCTTCCTCACTTTTAACCTAATCTGATCAACAGCTAGCCAACGAAATTCTCAGCTTCAAATCTCCCCCCCCCCTACTTGCTATTCAAAATATGAAACTGTACGCATGCATCTATTCTACCTAACTCCTTGGNTTTAAAATTTTATTGTACCTCAGTCCACTTTTTACCATTAGCATGCCATATAGCTTTTGATAGTAAAGGGCTATACGGAGAGATCCCCCTCCTTGACCCTGAAAGTTTTAGAGGAAGATATTTCCTGTGATTAAATGCTGTATATAGGCAGAGACATTTGCAACTGCTAAAGCCAGCAGGTAAGTTTCTGTGAAGAGTCAGATTTCCTCACAGGTAGAAAGATGTGTTCCTGGTGGAACTTTGACTAGAAGACAATTGATTGCCCCCAACGCAAGATATCTTGGGGAAAACGGTCTTTCATTAGGCATGCTGTGTGAAAAGTCAATGACCAAACAGGGGTCTTTTGGTGGGTGCCAAGTATTAGAATTGTCTCCAGGGATTAGCTAGCCACAGAGTACATAATTTGAGTTTATTTGAAGACTGAACACAACTAAATTAGCATAAAGGGATTGTGAGATTAATGTTCTTTACATACCTTGTTTATTTTAATACCTGCTATATTTCTACGAAATAGGTATTATTAATGCATTTTCAAAGATTAAAAAATGAGTCTGAGGAAAAAATGCGT